TAATTTAGTAAAGTGATAATAACCTCATTATAAATATCATTTAAAATAATAATCTTTACAAAGCTCCAAAACTTTCAAAACGTGTTTCCCATCTTCTGAAGGCAGGATTTGCATTTACTTTACTCAACATGCAACAGATTGGAGCAGAGGTTTTTGCAAAAACAGGCTTGCACCACTAGGAGGCAGTAGTAGACAACTGCTCAGAGTTGTATAAACTCAACACGAGGAGCACCAAAGATGTCGAAACACTAAGTTTTTTTTTTTTTTTTGCAATGAATTTAACCCAAGGGAGTACAAGAGAAAGAATACAACATTCCTTGTCTGAAACTCACCTTTACTTCACGTTGGCAGCTGAGTTATTGCCATGGTGTTGCTCATTTTAGGTAAAATTGCACCACTTTATTTTTAGTCTTCTGCTGCTTTCATCCACTTTACTTTATGGCCTGATGTCAAACTCTTTTAACATGGAGAAAAATAATGAAAGCGGTAGATAAGAGGAGTTTCGGAGATTTAAAATGACCCTCTGGTAACTTTCCTCCTCAGTGGAGACAGAGTACAGCAACAGAAGGATAAGAGTGGAGGGCTTCCTCTGCTGCAGGTTCTATAAATGGACAACTGTACTCCAAAGGGCTCTTGTGTTAGTCATGTCCATGTTCCCAGCAGAGGCAAAGCTTTAAACACACTGCTCACGTCTGCACGAAGGAATGGATTATGTTTTTGTGAGGTTTCTCCAAAACACCTGCAGTGTCTCAGACAATGACAGCTCACATACTGTACTATCTGAGTTGAAGAGGTAAGAGCTGCTGCACTGTTAAATGCTTGTTTATTTTTAGTGCTAAAACTTCACAGGTGGCGGAGCAAATGGAATCAAAATATCACAAAAACTTTTGAGTTTGAGCTACCACCTTTGAATGAAGCACACAGGTGGGCAACACCAGCAAAGCACCATTTTGGAGTGTACATACTCTGAGCAACACAGCATTCATAAACTTAATAAAAATAAATGCGATCATGTTTCTATAATATGTCATCTGCCCTGTGACTAAAAACCACTTTGGAAAGACCTCTGTCATGCTTTTATTGGGTGGCAGTAGCTCAGGTAGAACAGTCGTCCAATAACTGGAAGGTTGGCAGCTCGATTCCCGCCTACCCCAAGTCTGTCCGTTGTGTCCAAGACACTTAACTCACCTTGGTCCCAGTGTGTGTCCTCCACTGGTGTATGATTGTGAGTTTTGTGTGATGGTGGTCAGAGAGGCCGTAGGCACATACTGGCAGCCATGATTCCGTCAGTCTGCCCAAGGACAGCTGTGACTACTAAGGTAGTTTACCACCACCAAGGTGTGACTGTGTGAGCGAATGAATGATGTATCCAATGTAACCCAATTTGAGGGTCTCTGATAAAGGGCTATATGATATCTGATGCATTATTATTATTATTTTGATATTTTTCCTGTCTTGCCTTTAAGTTGCTTTACATGTCTTTACTTTTATTTTGATGCGCTCTACCTTTAGAAGATCTAAGATGCAGAACTGAATAAACCCATTAACGATGAAGCCGTCAAAAGTTGTAAGTTCGTGAGCCACAAGTTTTTCGTGCTGTTCTCTTCAGATTTGATCTTCAGGAATGACCAGTCTCTTTGGCTTGTAATGATTCAAAGTTTTTACATCGTCACAGGTTACCATGGTGATTTAAAATGCGGTTTACTTTAGAAAAACCCTTACACTGGTAGGTTATATCTAAAAGTTTAATATTATCTTTAATTTACTTTAATCTCAATGGAATATAAATATCTCTTGACGTAAAGTGGAGGTTATTTTTTCGTCAACTAGTTTAAGAGTTTAAAAGCATTTTAATTTAAAAACCTTCCTTATTTCGGTACAAAACGACCCCTTTTTGAAAACTATAGCTTAGTAGGCCCATGTCTCAGGGCCTACTAGCAGGCTGTGGCAAAAAAATCGATCCCAATTCCTTACTAAAAAAACGTAATTACATTTGTAATTTGAGCATATTAAAATTAAAATCATTTTACAAATAAAGGGGTCCCTCGACACCATTTACACATGTATTGGCATTACACTTTTTTTATCATTTAACCTCGGTGAGTGCTTGCCTTGTGGCCATAGAAGCGAACGGCGTCCGACGTGACAGGCGGTCATGTTGGAACTATTGAGAGTTCCATAAGCCGGAAGTTGGGTCCGCCGGGCTGTACAGCGTATGCCTATGGGAGTGTCGCCACTCTGTTTAATCCACTGCTCTGCTATGGACAACCTGCTGTGAACCTGCTGAAAAGGACTATAATGAATTGAAATCACAGCATGTCTACAAAGACAGTATTACAGCACCCATGAAAGGTTTCAGTGTCTGGATGGGTTAAAAGTAAGATCAGATCTAAATAAAAAACAACAACTCTTTCTTCTGATAACTGTCTTAAAACATGCTCTATTAAAAGCTGATGAAAGGATTGAGTCTTGGTTCATTTAAAAAGTGTTAACCAGTTGTGTTAGTGCTGAAAAAAAGCTGCATTTAAACCTGACCTGATGATCTAATTTCTCTATTACTTTAAAGTTTCTTTTCTTCTTCTCTCATCCGTCACACCATGTGTGCACTTTTCAGCTTGTATGAAAAGACGAGGCTCGGCATAACATAATAGCCAGGTCTTGAATCAGAGAGATGTTACAAATATCTCCATGATGCTCTGTTAAGGGGAAAGAATAACAACACGTCTTGGCTGACAGAATTTCACACTCTGCCAGCATGTTTATCATACCCGGTGATGAGATTTCCCACAGTTTCCTACAGTTTTTTTGCCTCTTTTAGCTGCTCAGACCAAAATAATAACATTAGAGTTTAAAGAACTGAGAGAAGTGTATCTCATGAGAAAGAAACCTCATTATTTCTGCTCATAAGGCTTTAAAAATTGGACTAACTGCAGAGCTGAAAGTGCTTTTTTATTGTGAAACTATTATCGCCATCCTAAACTTGTGTCTTTTTATTTTCTGCAGTACTCATCTTTCCCCGCAGAAATCTAAACAAGATTCTTCTATTTCATGACATAATTGGAATAACTTCATAATGAATCAATGTTAGACCTAGCACCAGGGACTTTCAGGGTCAAAGAGGTGAAAGGATGATCATTAATCATTTAAACTCCTGCTGTACGGCCTCATGTTCAGTCCGACTCGAGCTAATCTGAGGCCACAAGACCTGCTTGGGAATTGTTTCCCCTAATTTGTGGTGCAGCGGACATGCCAGCTGAAAGAAATGGAGAGATTCAGTTTAATTGCTTTGCCCTTCAAGTCAATTTGCTTCAACAATTGTTCGGCACTTGTGTTTTTCACTTCTCCCTTTCTGCTGCCTGACACCTAATCGGCTCTGCAGTCAACATGGCTGTGGAGAAAATGCTACTGATTTGGTGTTTTCCTTTATTTCTCCATCATTGCAAACCTTGGATATCTGGCAAGTCAATGCTGCAGTGACTTAAGAAGGCCTGCAAACACACAAACACATCAGAAAGCTCTGAATGGTTGGACACGATCATTAATTCAGGTATTATTGCCTCTCTGTAGCACAGTATTTCTTGAATGCTGGCCTGCTCGTGTTGTTGGGTTTTCTATCTAAGCTTATCCAGCCAAAGATTGGAAAGAGATTGTTGGTTGGCTTGGTCTTTGTTTATGAAAATACGATGGAGACAAGTAAGCTAGCAAAGCTGCAAAATCATTTTATTTGAGATTAAAGCTCATGTAAGGAGTTTTAAGTTGGTTATGAAGTTGACTGATGCTTCCTTATTCGCAAGTAAATCAAATCAGACTGCCAATGACAGGACTGACTATGTTCAATCATTTAAATACACAACAGGAAACAAACAGTTCACAATTAGTCCTTGCATTGGAGACTACCAAAACTATACTGTCTGTCTGTCATGGTTATGAATTTTAACCCATTAGTCCTGTACCCATTAAAAAATTCATTAGAAACAGCATCTATGTGAAACTTATGTCTGCTTTAGACAGACCTGCTGTTAGAGCTAATGTTAGCTAAATTAGGAGGATATCAGATGAATGTGACAAACTGTACCTGCGCCCAAAAAGAATTTCCTCATGAGTTTGGAGATGTCATGTTTGTGGATGAGAAGAATCACACATACACAGAAGAAGGTAGCTTAAGATTTTGTTAGACATGGATGATGACGTGTAAATGAGTGGTGTTTATAAGGCCAATTTTTTAAGTCACATGTTGCTCCACCCTTGACACCCCTGTAATCTGTAAATTTGCCACACCGCTGTACAATCATTATTGTGCCACTTCTCGTACAATCATATAATCAATAATCATTGGAAATGTGACAGCCCTCATCTCTTATCTTCTAAAAAACAAAGACCCACAGTTTAGACTCTTGACCCTGGCCTGAATATCATTGATCACTGCTTTTTCTGTTATGCACGAATGGAAAACTAACAGGCATAGCAACAGTAACCAGGGGAAAAGGCTTTGTGAATGACAAATGAACATTTAGCATGTTCTGGTGTCAAATTAAGCTTACATCTGCAGTCAGACTTAAACCAGAAATGTGTTTCTCAATCCAATCAGAGTTAATCACAGCTGTGGAGGGTTATTTATGCTCTGGATGCTTTGTGCTCATCTACAGATCAAGTCTCCGGTAACATTTCCATGTAAATGAGTGTTTCCCGAGGACTGCAGCCTGTATTTAATATGACATGTATTGTGTGTGACAGGCTGTTGCTTTGGAGAGTGTGAAGAGGAGATTTATTTGCATCAGCAGCTGACCGAGGAGTCCTACGTACAGTTCTTACTACTGCCAGGAAAGAAATGCTGTCTTTTTTATTTTTTCTCTATAGGAGCGCTGCGTTCACACGCTGCATTTGAAGTGGGTTTTGATGTCAGCTTCATCTATAATGGATCAGGTGACATTTTTCTGATGACAAGCCCCCGAACCACCCCCTAAGAGAGAGCTATAGAAATAGGCACATGGAAATAGACTCCCCATCATCCCATTTCATCTCTTTTTCTTCAGTTTCCCTCCTGAAGAGTAGCTACTGAATTTAGAGCTAGGGAAAAAAAGAAGTAATACACAGGACTTATGGATTCAGACAGCAAGTCAAAATAGTTTATTAGAGAACAGGATTCATAGTAGAGGCACTACCTCACATTTAGTATAGGCACTGAACAACTGCACTGGAGTCACAGCCACAACTTGGACTGGAAACCAAAGCCTGCCAGCAACATTTGACGACAGCTACAGCTGCAAGTTTAATATTTCATGACAAAAAAAACATCCTATAAATACTGAAATAATTCATCTGATTGGGATTCAGTTCAAACAGCAATTGGTATAATCTGACTGAGTGTAAAAAACAATTTTAGACTCTGTTTTAATCTCTTTAAAGGTGGTTAACAAAATTATCACTGATGGATCCTCAGATGACTTTCTAGCAGGGATGCAACAATCTCATAATCTCTCCCTACAATAATATCAAGTCCATGATACCATAGCTATCAGAAAATCTAAGACAACTGAAGACTTAGAAAAAAAATTAGGAATGATGACTGAGACCTGTTAACATCAAAAAACTGGCTCTATCAAAACCTGAAAATCAACATTTAAACATGATGTGACTTCATTATGCTTGCCAAATTAAGTCTTTGAATTGGTAGCTAACAGGTAAAAAACTACATAAAGAAGAATTCTAGTGGTCAGTTGCTTGCAGATCACTGAATATGCAAAAAAGGCCTAAAGTGTGGCTACATTTGACCAAAGCTAAAGATAGAGAAGAAGCAAAAGGCAGTTTATACTGCAAAATATTTCTTGCAAAGTGGGGAACACAGCCTTCATGAGTAAACACATCAGCACTGCACATCAAATCAGGCAAAAATGCAAAACCTCTGTCTGCCTGCAATTTGATAGTCTCCACACACCAAGCGAGTGTAAAAACATTCACGCAAATGAATTACATGTTAAGTAAATGCAGAGATGCAATTAGACGCTCCTGAGACTCTGGGATTTGGGCGGGAGCTTGAAATGACTCAACTTAAGCTGATGTTTGCGTCGCGCTAACCAATGAGCACGAAGGTTGCCAGGTGACGTATGAAAACAGATGGTTGTTCACTGGTATCTAAAATGGGGGACAAACTGATCATGTCAGTGTGTGGGTTCCCCGAATTATATGATACATTTTCTTTCAATTACCGAAACCGAAAAAAAAGGAGCTAGTCTGGAGGCAAGTGAGTGAGGAGGTCGGAATACCTGATAGATTGTAACCTTTGTCTATTACTTGATCCCTCTGGTTGAATTTGCAGGGATTCCTTTTGAAATTACCATTGACGCACAAATGACATGAGTAAATACTATTCATTCACCCGTCTAGATTCGCATGAATTAAGCAAGTAGATGATATTACTTGTACTTGGTGTGAGCGCCCCATGAGACAACTCTGTCAACTCCTGTTACTGGGATGCTGCTATCCTCCTCTTTAAGTTCTAATAGTTCAAAATCATAATCTAGAGTTGAAATCACCTCAGTCAGTTAGCTAGCTGACCAAGGTGTTAGACTGTTAGACTCACTTTGTGAGACCTTCAAGTACGGGTCAGTGACACAAGATTAAAGTGAAAATACATTATTCATTATCATGGTAAACTTTTGAAGGCTCATGTGTTTCTTGATATGAGATTTAATATTGTGAAACCGGTGAGATTCAGTCGCCGTCATGATCACCGAAGATGTTCACGATTTTTGGGTTTTTAAATGTGGAATCAGATTCTGACGGAACAGGGTTTCTATCATCATCCCTACTCACATGTTTTTGTTCATTACCTTTTCCCCTATCTCATTTTTGACAGCACCTTGGATTTAAAAGCTTCTGGTGCTCAACAGTTTTAAAATCTACACAGCACAATGTAGCTAATGACAAAGTCTGTTATTTTTGCTGTACCACATCTGGGGCATACATGGACTGATGGTCTCAGTAGTTCCCTAATTCCTTCACCCTGATCCACCATGGCTGAAACAAAACTGCTTCATACTGTCAGACTGTTACAGATCAACAATGCTATCATGGTGCTCAACGTCCTTGGGCAATATTGTGATTTTGACGATATTGTTACATCCCTACTATCTAGTAGTAATAAACCTCTTATCATATTGGAAACCCATTGACTGAGTCACTGGCAGGCTTCAGTTAGGGGGCGCATGTACATCCCCCGGCTCATGAACTCGCTGTTTCCTTGTCGTGAACTTTGCTTTCATCATTACAACCATCAGTTAAAGAACACACAGCAGGTTCACAATAATGTGTTACAAAAACAACCACAAAATATTGTATGATTACTTTTATTATCATAATCAAATTATAATAAAAAAGTGATGACAGTATATTCCCTCTGGTTCACTTCTGTAATATATATATATATATATATATGTGTGTTAATATAAAAACAGTGTTAATCCTAAAATCCGGTTAAAATGTTGGTATAACTTTGTTCAACTGTGCCACAGATGCAGCACCTCACATTAACTAGAACACCAACTCAACATGTTCCTGCGTCTTCTTATTTATGCTGAGCCATCTCTAATTGATCATACTACTCCAGATCTGACCAAAACTCTGAGTGTAGTGGTGCCTGTTTTTGTTGTGCACCGCTTGGTGCAGCAGTCTGAGAGGCAACACAAGGGAGAGAGAAAGCATGTAAACCCTCTTATGGTAGAAATATCCTGTGGTGTTACAGTCACATGGTTAGTTCAGAAAAAAAGAAGTAGATCACTGTTAAATGGTACACAGAGAGACTCTGTGGATCTCATTGCATGTTGCTCAGCACCACTTAAAATATGTTCTTGTGACTCTAAAACTAAGGTACGCACCAAAAATATTACATTTTTTTCTTTCTTTTACAGCTAGGCATTTGAGTCTCACGCCTGGTTCACACAGGAAGCGTCAGCCGTGCACCAAGTTTCGGATCGGCGCCCGTGTTAACCTAAGGCGGAGCACGCCCTGTGTGATTGTAAAGCTGGGCCAACTGTAAAGCTGGACAGAGCAGATCGGGCCAGACAGGAAGTCTGGAACAGGAGATGCGAGAGAATCTGGTCAATTTTCAAAATAAAATAAATTTCAATAAATCAGAAAAAAAAAGGATTTACGGTGTTGCTTGTTGGTCTATTTTTTCCCGATGAACACGCATGCACGCACACACACACACACACACACACACACACACACACACACACACACACACACACAAACACACATACACGGAGGGAGAGCTGCAGAGATTAAGTGATGTTATTGAAACAAAGGAGGGGGACTTTATTACGATAGAGTCAATAGCCTCGAGCTAACAAGGCTACACGTACAATGGAGTCAACAGACTCCCCAATTCATTCGTTGTTTACCCTAATATAATAATTTAAAACAATACTTGAAGATGCTGCCAATATTTAATTTATGTATAGCGTAATAAAAACATAAATAGATATTGATTTACCCATGTTTAAAGTGCTCGTAAGTGTGGAACTGAGGGCAGACGGAAACAGCAGAGCACTGCCGGGCTCAGTCGATGTCTGACAGGCACGTCAGAGCGCAGCAGAAAACGCTTTATGTGTGAACAGCCAAGCGCGCGCAGCATCGGCATCCTGTGTGAACCAGGCATCAGGCCACAGTCCCCAGCTTGCTTCGGTTTTTGTTTGGACATTGCCCTATTTGAAGTAACTCCAGCTGCTAAACAAATGTTGTCCGTGTAAGTAATTAGATTTCATTCTGATGAATAAATCAGTAAACAAAGCTTAAGCTGAGTCCTGACAGCATGATACACAACAGAGTTTCCAGCTGGAGCATCCCTCTTGTTTATAGACTGTGTGGCACTGTGAAGCAGTGGAATGCTAACATACTTCATCAAGCAATGGTTAACTGGAACATTTTTTGTCGATATGAAGTGCAATCAAAGGCAGCTAAAATATTTTTGATTTTACAAGCTTCAAACTCATTTTTTGTGCACAACTGACAACGTCACAGTTTTTAACGACATAACAGAGGTCTATGCTAGATGTTGGCCCCTCGTACTGATGCAATTTCTCACTCTAGAGCTAGTTATTTTTCCTCTCTTTCGCTACAGAATTTTTGTTTGGCTAAGTTACTCACCTCAAGGCTCTGGCTCTGCAGTTAAGTCTTTTAAGCCATTTACTGTAAACTTCTAAATGCCCTATACTGGAATTTACCAATGGTATATTGGTTTTTAAGTGGTCAATTTAGTATTTTATTGTATTTTCCTCAAACCTCAGTCCATTTGAGAGGTGTACCTTCCTTGTTGCATACGTAGCGTTGAAAAACTGACAGTCAGACTTACATATAGGGATGCAAAATATTGGAATCTTGCTGATATTTGAGAAGCTGCTATTTTTCAGATTCATTCAGGCCAATTACCAGACTTTTTTTTTTTCAATGTAAAGGACACAAAGTTTCTTCTGTGATAGAATTTTCTTTAATTGAAATTATAAAAGTCTTTTGGTTTTAATAAAATTTGATTCTATCAGAAATTATATCTAAATATATATATTTTAATTTAAATATTTAGTAATGCTAAGCTGCCTGTTACTAACATTTTAAAATACTTCTACACAGCCAATAGATCTAAGCCGTCATCACATGCACAAAAATAACACACCATTTTTTACACCAATTTCCAATTTTTATATTTGCTGATACTGACAGTTAACTTTTTAGCGATTATCTTCCTATGCTGTTACAATAGTGATAATATTGTGCTTTCCCTCCAACTAAAATAAAAGTACATGAAGTTTTGAGACTTTGCATTAGCCATGATTTATATTTAAAACTAGGTTAAAGTGGTCAAATCCTTCATCCCAAGTTTAGAGTTTATAGTTCCTGAAGCAAGCAGCCCATATTTAAACAATCCCACAGCCCTGTGCTGCATGCTCTTCCCGGTTTTCTACTCTACCAACTGTCCTTTTCTCTGGATCAAGGCATTAAAGCCCCCTCAAAATAAATTTGCTGAGCTCCACTCTATCATTCCAGGAACCTAAGATAGACTCCTTTCTACCTGGTGAGTGCACATGCCTTTCAAGCACCATTACCCCAGTTTTAACACAAGCTTTATAATTATCATTTTATTTCTCATCCTCAGTACGAATGAGCCTGAGAACATTATCAGAGATGTTTACTGGGAGCAGTAAGCAGCATCCTTAGCCTTTGGAGGAGAGCATTTGCACAGTAATTAAACACATGAGAAGAAAACCAATTATATGTAAAACAGGTGGACTGCCTCAATAAATAATAATTTTTCAACGGCAAAGCTTTCACTGATTTTAAGCGCCATCTTCTGGGAATAAAAAAGACCTCTTCTTTTAACTGTTTGCACTGTTGTGTCAGACAAAGCACACTTTCAAAACCTTTTTTCATTCAAAAAGTGCAGAACTGGTCTGAAATCTGTGCATAACTAAGTTTATCTGCCTGAAAGGGAGTGTGCATGTTTTACAAATAAAAACCCCATAATTATAGGTACACCTTACACCTCCCCACACACCATCTGTGTGAATTGAGTCCTCTTCTTTTTGAGCTGACTTTACGACTCATGCAATCACCTTCAGTATGTTTCATAATGTTCAGTCAACCTCCTAAATTTAATTTTCCTACATCTAGCACATGGCAATAGTGATCCACAGAGCAGTGTACCAGGTCTGTGCCACGTTAGTCATGGCAGAGAAACTGCTCAGTACAGCTGGCAAGACAGAAAATAGAAGAAGAATTCAAGGGTTGTGTTTCTCCAAAACAGCTGATTCTGGAAGAATTAAAAAATACAAGTCTGTGTTGAAATATACTTTATATATTTACTTCTTTTACTGGTGGCCATTTGACAAAAAAAAACAAAAAAACCCACAAGTCCATAAACCACTCAACAGATTCAAATACAAATAAAATACACAAGCTTGTTTGTACTAAACATGTCTGTCTTCTTATTTGTCGTCCCATAAACTCCCAAAGTCATTCAACATTTATTATATTGCGCTTTTCTTATGCCCAGCTTTATACAAACAGCTTATAGGCTACTTATCTGACCAACATGGTGAAAATAAGCATATTTATAGAAAAATATTTTCTGCAACATTAGGCAAAGTGAAACTTTGCAGGAACACAAAACTAGTGACAGTCACTTTGGGAAACCCAGCTCAGACCTGGACGACACCACGACACATCTGTCACCTCACAATCTGAACCCACAGTACAACATCTGGAGGGAAATCATGAAAATAAATAAAAAGTTAATAAACCATTAGAAAAAATAGGAGCTATTACTTCAAATCACAAAATCTCATTAATTAAATATCAATAGGATGTTTGATATATCATTCTTCCAACGTCAGGTTCATGTAGGAAACAAAAAACAACAACACGTGGGTACGCTTATGTTGGAGGAACACATTTATGCTACCTGTAGGTGTTGACACGGTTCCCCGTTGCCTAGGAAACAGTGTTCAAGTTTTCCCGCACAAAAAGATAAATCAAGAGGCTTTTCATTGTTAGAAATAAGACTCAGTGAAGCATGCCAAATTCAACACCTTCCACTTTATTTTTGATGCTTTTACTGCCCACCCCCTTTGTTTGGTCAGAGTCTGATTTTGTGGGCCCTCTTTTTTTAGGGATCAAGGCTCAGAGTGTGCCTACAATGTAACAGGGCCCTAAATGTAGCCTGGACATGCAGGTGTTGTATGAACTACATTTATTTATGATACTGAGGTAAAGCTACACAGAGCAACTTTATGTCTCATCAGTGTGATGCCTAAAAATGACACACTGCAAAACCCAAATCTTAGTGAGTGTTTTTGGCCTTGAAAGTGTTGTATTAGGTTTGAGTTGAAGCTCCTGTGAGGTGTTCATTTTTCTATTTTTTTTATTTTAGGAAATAAACTGAATTTCACATCATTTCATGACAAAAGCAAACAAAAGTATCAGCAGTGAGGTCAACAGTTCGTATGTCGTCGTTTTCAGGCTTGTAAGTAGTGTGTGTGGGGGTCAGCCAAGTGCTACTTAAGCATGTAGAAGATGAGATAGCACAGTTGTGTCCCCAGGGGACACCAAAACTGACACGAACTGAAAGTTCCTCATGAGAACTTTAAGTTACATTCACTTGACGAGTCTGGAAATCGGCTTATTGGACAACATTACTTGCTAAAAATAGGATGTGATTGTTCATGAAAACCGTTTTGTTCCTGTTTTGTGTGGCTTGCAACATGTGGCGAACACAAGACGCCACACTTTTAAAGACTCTTTTCACCAGCCAAAGGCCTAACTCTCAAAACTGGAAATTTTGTTAATTCTCTTGCAGTCAAACATGAATTAAGAGTAAACAAACATGGCAGGCCACAGGAGCTAACCACTGCTAGCTGAACCTCCAACCTGTAACACTAACACAACACCTGTATTCATGTCAGTGTGTTTTACTAAACACTCGTGTTGTTCGCATTGACGTCCATGTATTACTACTGTTGCCATGGCTGCATTTGTTCTGCTTCCTGATTGGCTATCATTTTGTTCCATGTGCCAGTAGACAGAGTTCATGCTCCACCATTCTTGGGGTTCCCCTGACACTGAAAAATTTCCAATCGTAAATATTCACAATGTTCAATATTTATGATTTCAAGTTGTGGCAGCTTTGTCTTCATGTGAGGATACTCTGGAAAGATCATCTTTGGCTTTTGTCAGCAGGGAGGAATTGTTCCCTGAATCAGCACAATAATCTTGTAGTTTATACCCCGTTTGTGTCACTTTCCACTGAAAGACAAAAAAAAAAAAAAAAAAAAAAAAAACACTAAGTAAGATCTGGGATTTTTGCAGTGCATTGCTCAAAAGTACATGGTAGTGTAATTTGTGATATTTTGGGGGTTTTATTGCTTGTAAAATTGCCCTGGTCCTCAGGTTATGCAAATCATTCAGACTCGTTTTTAGAATTAAACGTCATGCTGGTTAAAACAATATTCATGCACTCCTCATACATTTTGGCTTTCAGTTTGTGGGGTAGAAATATACTCTTCATCAACGGCTTATTTGCTGCTTTAAAACAGTACACCATGCGATGAGCTGCTACCTGGAATGAAGCATCCTGCTCTTTTGATGTGTGTGTTCAGACCTGCTGTCAGAGGTGGTGGAGGGGTTTCAGTCCAATGAGTGAACAACCTGACACGTACGTCACATCAGGAGCCAGAAAACCAGACCGAGGAGGCATGTTTTCCAGATTTATGAAGCACCTCCTCTTAAAAACACTGTGACAACAACAGGGTCAGAGAAGGGGTGAGAGAGAAAAGTTGTGAAGGAGAGAGAGCTAACTCTGGCAATGTCCCAGAATTCCTTGGGCACCACAGCGGGGCATGTAAATTGCATCGAAATGCTTGAGAACAAGAACGTTGACTGTACATCCTCCAGACAGCTTTCAAAATAATAGATGGTGAGGGTGTCAAGAGTATGCAAATCACATACACACACACACACGCAAAATAAGGACCCTGCTCACATACAATCACCTCCAGTCATGACTGCACAAGTTCACGTATAACCAGTTTGAGTAAGCTTTTAAAAGCTGCTTTTTACTCAGCTTCCTAACTGTTCATTGTAATTCACGGTAATGTCTTTTTATGGTAAACAATAACAAACAGGACCATCAGGAGCAGTGCTGATCTTTCTGATACTATTATTTCAACCTACTCCTTATACCACAGCACGGGTTTGAGAGGGAAGGTGTAAACCAAGCAGCTTAAGATGAGAATTTTGTCAAGAGTAAAGGTTAAGAGTAAAGGTCACGCCAGCAAATTAGTGAATTGATGCAAAAAGGTGACGCAAAAATGTGAAATTTTTGGCTTACACCTTTTCTACACACACCTGGTGTGACGCGGATATTCGCATATTTAAGATACATTTTGTATAAAAATACATATAAAATACGCCACGGGCGAACATAGGAGGGAGAAGAAGGAGACACAACAGCGATTACATCCTCAAGTGATGATAACCTGGTCATGGTTGTAAGCCTATTAAATAACAAAAAGAAGAATCAAAGTGTCTGGGTACATCCAATATTATCCATGCTACAGGAGATGGGGGAGCTCTACACAACATTCCAGGAGCTTAAATGGTATCCCAAGAAACTCCAACAATACTTCAGAATGTCCCTCTGACAATCTCAAGAACTGCTACATCAGCTGACTCCATGTTTGCAGAAGGAGAGGACAAATCACAGAGAGCCGATTGATCCAGAGCAACAGCTTGCCACACGTTTGAGGTAAGATTTATATCAGGCTATAGATTTATACACCACTTCGCCTGCGAATGTTCACAAAATTCGCTGCAGGGACGAAAAAATTACAGTTGCTTTTTTGCTCTGCAGAAGTTCATAGCTGGTACGAAAGCTTGCATTGACTTTATGAGGTTAAAAAAAACAAAAAAAACAGCGAATTATCTGCTTTGCTAATTCGCTTTGCTTATCCACTGGTGTGTAATGACCTTAACTTGGCAGGTAGAGAATAAAATAAGCAAAGACTGGAACCAAAAGTTACTCACTGGAGCTTTAAAGGTAAGATTTAGAGAAAAATACTTTTGAAAACAAACTTTCAAGACCCTGCAGCACTAAACCCTCTATCCTTGTTTAACCCCTGCCCTAAACTTAATTGCTTTTGTTTAACAGGCTGCAAATTCCAGCCGTAGCAAAAACATTTTACTAAATACTCCCTGCCTGGCGCCAAACAGTGTCGAACCTAGCTAAAGTTAAACCTGCGGCATGCTAAAACATGAACACTGGGAAATAAAATGAGACAAAACTGATGCTGACATGTCAGGGAAAGACAACAAGACTACAGATGGAAATGTTAACTTGTGGCTGCAGGTTCACAGCTGTCAAACACATTTAACTTAACTGTGTCCAGCTTGTATTAGAGACAAGTGTCAAAAAGCATTTGATGTTTCTTTAAAAGCTGAACTTAAAATTTCATATGACCAAAAAGGTCAACCTGGGTTTAGTGAAAATTGAGAGGGTGCCCTTGGTGACAAACCATACAATTGTCTCTTCCCTTGTCATGGTTTTATGGTCCACAACTGTAATATTTAACTCTATCAGTCAGCTCTCATCTACTTCATGTATCAAACACAGCAGGCTGCTGTTACCTGCCCAGAACTAAACTGCACTGATTAGCTAAAGTTGGCCGATCAATAAAGAATAGCATTAAGCAGCTCGTGCATGAAAACACACTGATCACTTTTCATGTAGATAAACAGGTTTTTGGAAAACCTTGACAGAACTATCTTATCAAATCACACGCATGACAGAATAACACACAACCTCTTCTACACTCATTCAAACAGTCACTCTCTCACAAACTGAAGTGGATTGGAGTCAGTTCATCAGTGCTGAATGGAGAGAGGGCTGCAGAGCAGAGAATAGACAAAATAATCTCTGTAATCCTTCCAGCCTGTCATGATTCTTGCCAGATAGCAGAGCTGTGTGAAGAAATGAGGATGATGCTGCATTCTTGTTTGTGCATGCTTTTAGGCATGCAGGGCTTTGCTTGGCTCTGCACACGAGCTTGGTGTTTGTGTGCATACATTTCATATATGTATACAATGAGAGTGTGGGCTGTAAATAAAACAGTCAATTAGATGCACACAAGAGAGGACTGTCAACTGGCATCTCATCTGAGCTCCAGTATCTTCAGATCTTTCTCACAACATTAGATATCCGCCTCTGTTAACAAGGTCTGCCAGTGTGCAGACCAGAGAAATACAAGATAAGGGGCAAGACAGTGAAAAAGCAGCGTGTTTCTGTGTGTTTGAGGGTATATTAAAAGTGTGGCATATTTGAGGGGGGCAGAGATAGCTCTCTCTATTCGCACGGTACTTATCTATGTCTCTGAGTTAGCCACAGACATTTTCTCTCTCTTCACTGACTTTAGAGTATGAATTCTCCTCAGAGCTTCCAGACAAAATTCCATTAGAATGGGTTTCTCATGCAACTGCAACATTTATGAGATGATTCAAAATCATTCAGAGGCAGCAGATGCCACCTCCATCTGTGGAATAGGGATATAGGGGGGCATATCTATACTTTCATGTCATCAGACAGGCACACTTTCCACATCAGTTAGGACAGTCTAGAGTTACCATATAACATTGCATGATTGAGGGTGTTTTTGTTAAAAACAAGCTGTTATGTTGGCTCTCTCCTGATGGGATGTACAGTTATAAATGCTGAAATTTGCATTGGTCATGAATTATCTCAACAATACATTGAAAAGAAGTCTCCCCTCCCCATCCAGCTCCATATCTGTATGTGCTATAGAGAGTTCACACCCAAGTTAATTCTTTAAATGCAATGGTCACAAAGCTAACATATGCTCAGCAATCTTTGAAGGTTTCAGCTAAGGTTGTATAACTTTGAACCAGCTGAGGCGAAATTGACTCCCTTGTCAAAGCATATCAGTATTACACTTCAGGGCCATTGAACTTTTTCTTATATATTCAAATTCCTCCAAAATAGCAGGACCAGAAAGACCAACAAAGTCTGCAAGCATACAAAGCACTTTGTCGTTGCTTTGTTTCCTGTCTGACCTCGTCTGCTAACCACAGGTCAGTGAATCTGTCACAAAACATTTTTCAGTGCAGCTCCGTCTGTCCATTTTCATTCCTAACGCTGGTTCACAAACATTTGTCTTGTCCTGGGTAAATTCAAACTGTGTGGGAAGTCTGTTTTTCAGCTACCAACTGGTCAACTACTGTGCAGCAGCTTTCAGCTCCCTGTCTGAAGTGACTTCATCTCACCAGCCTCTGAGAACTGAGTGTTTTACAGTTGAGGCTTAATTTTTGGAGGATAGATAACGCTACTATGTATGACTTTCCAAACATGCAACAAGAATCACAGTTTGACTCTGCTATGTTTCTCTTCCAGGGAAAACACTGAATTAAAATTCCCCCAACTGTGCAAATACCCCAAAATCCAGAGACGCTTTAAGCTGCACAATTTTGAAGTATGTTACAGAATTTCAGTGGAATCTCAGGAATTTCAGTGTGGATTGATCACACCTTTGCAAAATGTCACATTTGGTTTTAGAATATGGAGTTTAGCTATTTCTTAACCATCACTAATGTTGTATTTTTTTTTTTTTTGTATAACACATGGACAAAGTGAAAATAATGTCACCCCTTTGTTTCTAAAGCAGAATTTTGAAGCCTAAAAGCAGCAGTTGACATGTTGGAAATGGGTTGACCTAGAAGAGGGTCATTCGCCTCCTCTCTTCTGATTTGGTCTAACCCATAGACTGTACATAGAATGGATGCCACTGCGAGAACAGCACCCTCTGGTGATGGACTGCAGTATAGGTCATAAATCCCGCATCCTCCAGCGGGATCCTCCATATACATTCTTCTCCCCCCCTGCTTACGATGTTGACATGTAGATACATGTGCTCAAGTCCTCTTTTTTCTGTGCAGCTCCATTTTTAAAAGTTATAAGGGGGTTCATGTTTTCTATGACAAAGCCATACAAAGATTGCGTAGCTCACCCAGGGGATACACTGTTTTAGCCAAGCATCATCACAGCGACGGTAACTTTCCCGCCGAATGCGTACAACGCTACTGCACAAGCAGTGGTTCCAGGAAGTGGAGAAAATAAAAGAAACACTGAGAGAAATTCAGCTTCAAATTCATATAATGACGGAAGGTAGAACCAAGTTGTCCATAGTATATACAGTCTATGGTCTAACCACTATAAACACATCCAGACATGCACGCAGTCAATCAAAGATTCATCTAAGAAGATCCGCAAATACTCTAGTTAATACAATTATGAACTTCCAAAGTTGAAAAATATAGATGATGTAAAAGGATGAGGAAAATGTGTAGAAACAATGAGCATTTCATCAAGCGATTTCAGATTAGTCTCATTCAGATATTTAGTGAGTATAACTTTCTCAGATAATCAGCAAACATTTTTCAGTCACATTAATCATCTTTATATATTTTCTTATTCAATCCAGCACATGTAAACACTTAAGAACAACATTATTATGTCAAATTTAACCTAATTTGCTCTGTACTTTCTACTTAACAGTTTGGAAGTTGAATTTGATCAGATAAGCTTTGTCACTATGTTGCTGTGATTTTATTGAGCATTTTTTGCACTCACATCATGCCACATGGCGCTCATTTTGTTGGGCTGCAATGACAGAGTAATGATTTATCCTGGGTCTGATGATACCCACTCAAATACAGACTCAGATATGGGTTGGGAAAATATTTAATTCTATTTTTTTCATGTGTTTGCAATGATTGACATGCCAGGCCAACCTGTGTTATACGAGAGAAATTTGTCTCTGCATTTTTCCCTGAATAAACTTTGGATATGATTCAGATTTCTATAAAGAATCTCTGGTTTGTTGAGGTTTTGGCAAAGTGTACTTTTTCATAACAGTCAAATAATTGTAAAAAAAAAAAAAAAATCTGATTTAAGAACAACCTTTGCCTGGCAAAACCTACAGCAGAGCTAAATTGCCTCAAAGTGTTGCTAAGATATCACCTCTTCCATATGCTCTTCCTTTACATCCATCATCTTGCTGTTATTGTGTTGACAGAAATAAAATGTTCTTGTGTCAATCATAAAACTCCAGGGAGTTACTATGTGTCAGGAATGTGCTGTTGAGATTTCTACATGTC